CTTCACTTGACACTTAGCATCCTATATCGATCTTACATTCGAATCACTCACTACAGGTGAGTTCATACCCCTTAACTTATCTTTTAAATGATTTTAAATGCTTTTATGGGGGGGGGGGAATACAAGTAGAAAACATTATAGCTATTGTATCAATTACATGTGATTAATAACTATCAAACCAGTGGATTTCTTATGCTTCAAAACTGTCTTATCAGACAAACTATTTCAAAACATTTTATAAGCTGACATCAAGTCATATATAACCATTCAAATGGTTAAAACTCTTTTATATGCTAAATTCTTTATCAAACTCTTTTAAACTTATATATTGTCAAAAATCATGTCTATATAGATATAGTTATATAAATAAGGTTGAAAGGACTTAGGACTGATAACTCGCTTTATTTCTTGTTCCTTGTTTGGTTGTGGACTTAGGGTATCGGTTGTTAGTCCCAGTGTCGTTTGAATCTTAGTTATATATTATGTATATGTGTATAGATATAAAAGTTCTTCCAATCAGTTCAATACCTTTGGGTAGCAAAGGTGTACAAACATGATCAGACATTCAAACAACAGTACTAGTAAACTATAATAGGTATAGTTTAGGAAGTTAGTACTTACTATTTCTAGAACAATGAAACATACAAGAGTCAGTTCATACAAGAGTTAGTTCAAACATACTATAGCGAGAAACAGAGAGAACATACTATACACTAGAACAGAGAGAACATACTATACACTAGAACAGAGAGAACCTACTATACACTAGAACAAAGAGAACATACTATACAAATACAAGAACAATATAACATTAATGTGAGCCACTACTTCATGGCGCGGCAATGTACTGTTGTGTCACGTTTTATAACCAGAGTCTCCTGGAGGGAGAGCGTGAATTTGTGTATAAATCTATACGGGATTGACCATCCTACACCTTGCTGCTAGCTACAGTGGGACCTGCAGGTCTACGGGTGACGAATGTCATACCATTTTGACATCTTTGATCGTCGTGTTAATAGTCAATCAAGTATGGTTATAATCTCATCACATTTTACCTTAATTAAACAAACTGGTTTAAGGTAGTTAGTACAGTTGTAGTTACTTATATACAATACTACTGTACATCTTCATTTTCTCATTACATTCATATTGTGATCTTCTCACATAAACGGTAATGTAAACTATTTTCTGGTAATAATAGTCATACTTGGGAAAAACACTCACTTTTACAAAAGAACAAACTTACAAAACAGTCGGGTCTTGGTAGAAGACTACTTTAGTAGAAAATATAGGATTTTCTAGGGAGTATACAAACATTTACATCAATCACTTACAAACTTTACATCAAACTCTTACAAACATTTCCATCAAACTTATACAAACAATGACACTAAAATACTTATGAACTCACCAGCTTTAATGTTAATCTACTCTTTCAAAATAACTTGTATTCTCAGGTCACCAGTAGACAGGTACCGATGACCAGGTTTTGAGAAGACGGAGCACATTCGAGACTCGTCTTTTATTTTGATTCATATTTTGGTGTCTTTCAAACTATACACAGAACACACTTGTATTAAATTATACTATTAACGCAATGGATGATGTTGTTGCTTGTTTTACTATTATGCATTGTTATGATACTGTACATGACGTCCTCCGCCCCCAACGTTTCCGCCATTCTGGTTTTGGGGTGTGACACTCGAGCTCGAGCTTCTTCAAAATTAAACGAGCCGAGCTCAAGCTTGGTCAGGCTCGGGCTCGGCTACACCCCTGAAAACGGCTATATAATCGTTAGAATAGGACAAAAAAACGGGCAGATCCTATTCCTTGAAAAATTTATTCAAAACCGGTTCGGTAGACTGGTTCGAAACCGGTCCTAAAGTTCGGAAATGAGAATTACTTCAAACTGGCGGTTCAGTTCTGCATAAGATCGGTTCTAGCTTGGACCGATTCAGGGGAGAACCGATTTTTGGTTCGGACAACAGTTCGGATCGTGAACCGGTTTTTTAGTGCACGTCAGGGCTGAGGCTAGGTTTTTCACTTTTTTCACCGGCATAAGGCTAAGCGATATGGGAGGTTTCTTACGCGTCAAAAGCCGATATGACAGACTTTCCCACGTGTAAACACTGGCCCACGGGAGCATAATTATATTGTGGAGTGAAGTTATTCATGGATGATCACGGAGGCTGTGATTGGTTGAAGCCATATGTTTCTCCTTCTCTTCCTTCGTGTATGCTTTCTTCTGTCTCCATCTCGTTCTCCCGCTCTCTTATCGAGTTCTTTCTGGTCTTTCTTGGTCAGCGCCCGCAAGGGGGAGAGGTTTTAGGGTTTGGTGCGTCAAATGAAATAACGCTCAAGAAAATCCAATGCCCAAATTTTGGTTTTTGGCATAAAAGGCCCCTAAGTCTCATTCTTTTACATTAATACAATAATAAACCTGAATGGTTTTGATTGATTGATTTAATTTTTGGTAAAATAAAAAAGTGATAATTAGACCTATAATTTTTTTAGTGATTTGAAAACAATTATATAATTTTTAAATGTTTATTAGTAAAATGTTTTTTTTTAATTTTAAAAGTTATGTTTTTTATTAGTAAAATATTTATTTAAGTTTAAAATTATGTTTTCTTATTAAATTTAATGTAAAAAAATTCAAATGGTGTGGAGTGGTAGCCATTTACACGGGTTAGTGATGTCATAATAATAATATAGTGAATATGATGTGACGTCACTTTTCTAGTGAATATGTATTGATCATACCCCTTTATCTAAGTGCATAACTTTCTTTTTGTTATAAACTATAAAGTATATTACACAAATGGTCCATATAATTTGGGGTGATTTACATATTTGGTTTTTAACATTTGTTGAACTCGTGGTTTGGTTTTATTTCGCATTGCAAGGTCAAAATGAGGGTTTTTGACCAAAACTTCTAAGCATGATACTAAAACTCAAAATAAATCCTTATCCAAAGCAGCAAAGGCCATAAATGGCCAAGAGATTCATAAAGTTGCAAACTTTATGAAATCTCACCACCCAAAAATCAAGGACATGAAGATTTAGGGACAAAATAGCAAGATCTAGCCATGCAAAGTATAAAGATTTGATTTTGAGGACTTGCAAGAGTCCAGGAATGTGCTCAAGGTAGATGAGAAGATTTGCTTGCTGGAACTTAGCTCCTTTCTTCTTCTTCTTTCCTTTAATGGCTTCAAATAGCACCCAAAACAAGGTTTAATAAGGAGGAGGAGGATTAGGGTTTAGCACAAACTCAGAGGGGCAGATGAAGGCTGAGAGTGAGTGAACCCTAGCCTCATCATTCCTTTAAATAGGGAGCAAAACCCGGAAATAGGGTTTTGTCATTTGCCAGCTGCCAAATTGTGGCGGCCTTAAATAAGCCAATGATTTTCTTGAAGCACCACGTTGTGGCGCCTTCCCCCATGCCGTGGCGACCTTACATGCTTAAATATTGGAAATTAAATTACCTTGGGATCTAGATGTTACAAGAGGTTGAGGATGCAGATAAATGGTGGTCGTTGGAACTTCTAGTAGCGGAAAAGATAAAGGGTTAAAGGTGAAGGTTGCTAGGGTTTTTATTTAGATTTTATAATTTGTTCAGAAACGGTCCCTTAAGTTTATAGCTTTTATCAATTTTGATCTTTTTTATTGATATTAACACTAAAATATAGCAATGTTAGCCTAGAAGATCAGTAGTCTTAAATTTTTAAAACTACGACCAAACTTGTAGACAAATGTATACAAAAGGATCGAAACTGTAATTAACTATTTATATTTTAAGCCAGGGGTGTACCTAGGTCGTGCCATCCGGTAGGGTGATGTGGCATTGCACCGAGGAGGGAGAACAAGACCGCACTCGGTGTGATGAGTGCGATAACCTCCATTGTGAGAACCAAAACCACCGCACCAACATCTCTCTCTCTCTCTCTCTCTCTCTCTCTCTCTCTCTCTCTCTCTCTCTCTCTCTCTCTCTCTCTCTCTCTCTCTCTCTCTCTCCATAGCTTTTACATTTGTATTGTAAAATATCTCATTGTTTCATATTTATTATAAATGTATATATACGACGTATGTGGAAGTCAGGATGACTATTTTCTAGCGAATGGAGAATAAGAGGAAAATAATGTGGCGTTGAATTGGTAGGTGTAAAATAAGAAAAGTACACTTCTTGGCCTTATGTATTAAACGAGGGACTCGCTGCAGGGCTGCTCAAAAGTAACGTTTAACTTATAGACGACAAATGCTAACAGTAGCCTTTAGTTATATTTTTAATTGAAAACTATTAAGATTAAGACTTATGAAACTAACTGTCGGACCATGAAAACAACTGAACCAATAAGGAGGTTAATGCATGCTAGATTTAATTTGGACATTTTGGTCGAACCGCCTTTCTCAAAAGTTTGAGGTTTCTCATAATTTTAAGGTTAATCAAACCATGAACACACATAATCGATAATCTTTGTAGTACGTAGAAATAAAGGCTCATACATGTTTTTGCAACAATGTTTCCACCATAAACTAATAGAAAATGAAAACAACGTATGTAATGAACTAAATGAAGGGTTCTTTTGTTTATGTATAACAATGTTTCAATAAACCATACACATTGATTTACCATATAAATACAAAACACAATTATAAGTAACATAAATATTATCTTTTAGATTTTGACACACTGATTTGATTTTGAAGCCATTGACAATTTGACACAAAAGAAAGGTTTTGACGCCTTTAACTCATGCATATACAGTAGATCCATATATTTATGATTTATCATCTATCAGTCACTTAACCAATAAAAAACCTTAAAGCTTCAAATATAATAATATAATTTCACACCATCTATTTTTGCTTTACTTAAGTCAAAAACTGTAAGTCTCATATGTTGACATTAACTCAAAATTGCACAACTTTCCTCTATCTATCTAATCCCATTTTAAATGCGCCCACTACAAATAAAAGAAAAAGTATACCCTTTTCCCTACTCACCCCCATTGGACTTTTGAGGACTTCCCAATTCTTCCCATCACAAAATTTTTGAAATTGTTGACTTCTAATAGTGATGGTGACTTTGACTTTGACTTTTCCTTTTCAACCCTTGCCCCAACTTCCACCTCATTTAGACCAACCCTCTTCTTAAACCCAAACCCATAATCCGGCCTTTGTTTTGGTGCACTATGGGACCTCACCTTAGCCCTAAAAGACTTGGTGTTAGCCATGTAACCAGGGTGGCTCGCAAAAGAGTCGTCTTTTGAAACCCTATCATAGACCGAATCATAAATGTTTGGCCCACACGAATATGAAAAACGAGGGGTGTTATGTGTTGTTGAGAAGCCATGGTCGAATACATGATGGTTTGGTAAACTAGGTGTCGAAAGATGATGCGGGTTGCTAAAATTTGGGGTTTGGGCCCCCGAGTCTGGATCCCAAGCCCATGTCTTGGCCCGATCTTCTGGGCCCAACTCTATTGGGCTGGGCCTCCCATCATATGTTGCTTGAAAGGAAGTTGAAATCCTTCTACTTCTTGCCTCATTAGCCCTCTTCTGTAAATTAACAAGAATTTTTTTCATAAATAAACACACACAAAGTAAAATTGACGAATTGGGTTACTTACAATTGATCTTCTTGAGTGAAATTTATCATCTTGAAGACGAAATCTGTGTGCACAAACAGTGGATTGTGCTCTTAATAATGCCTCCATGCCATGTAGAGTCTGTGCCGCTTCTTTCCTCACTAAATAACCTCTCACAACTGCTTGAAGCTTCACTAGCGATTTCAATGCCTTCAATGCTTTCCTCGACTGTTAAATCCACATAATTTGAATCCATTGATTGGAATTCGAATTGGGTTTTTAAGTTTTTGATTATATGGCGATTGATGTAAAAGTAAATGAATAAAAGTTGAGAATTACCAGGTACCCACGAAACAGAGCTTGGATTTTAATGGCGGCTGAGTTCTCCCTAACGGTGACGCGATTATAACTTGTTAGTCTGACAAAGGCGACGGCGGCCTGGGCTGCAGCCACGGCGGCGTCTGCGGCTGCGGCGGTAGCGGCAGCTACTGCAATTGCATGTTTGTTTTGCTCCACGGAATTGTTGATGTATAGTGGTTTCAGAAAGGGAGTCTCCGGTGGAGAAGTGGAGGAATCGCGACGTGATCGACCGATGCATGAGGTAGTCTTGTCTCTCCGGCTACCGGAATTTGATTGGTCGTTTTCTTTTTTGAAACTGAACAGCCCCTTCAACCACCTCATCGCTTTCCCCATTTTCTTCCTCAAATGTCAAAAAGATACTGACTTTATGTGAGAGAGAGTGTGTGTATAACTGCTAACAATTTTTAAACATAACTATTAAGAGGGAAAAGTCGACAAGAGAGTTATATATACACAATTACAATATATATGGGTATATATGGAGAAATTCTACATGTATATAATACAAGTACAAGAGATAAATAAAATGGCTCAATAGGGGGGGAAATATATTTGATGAAAAAGTTGTAAGGAAGATATGTAAAATTATACTTACCATTTATCTAATGAAAATATTTATTTTAGTATTGAAGTATTTAATAGTATTAATAATTAAATCCGAATCAAAGAACAAGAATCATGTGAAAGAATCAACATAAATTATTATAATCATTAATAAATAATCAGATAATTAAATTTCTATCTTGAATCATACATTAATTACAAACATATTTTCTAATAAATAAAAGTTTTTTTTGTCACTTGTCAAATTCTTAAGAGTTTAGCTACGTAATTTTGTGTTTTTTTAATAAATTAATTTCACATGTCATTTTGTGGTTGCTTTGTATTAAATGAGATTAATTAGTTAATTAATGTATTTATTCTATTAGTTTCGAAAATAAAAATTATAAATGCTATATATACGTTTCTTTTCTATGATATCATAAATACGCATCCAATTTTGACTATGCCATCTCACATTCTAAACTAATCGTATATATTTTCCAAAATAATACCATGTTTCTTATATAGTATTACAATTTACCTATACCAAACTTACACCAATTTCTTGACACATATTGATTGGCTGCTTCAAAGTCAAACTTTAACTTAAATCATAGAAGTCAATTTATATTGATCAAAAGTCATTTGAAGTTTAAGTACAACCTCTTAAATAGTTTTGATAGAAAAAAAATACATTATAATCCGAAACAAATTGAAAGTGACTCTCTATAATTGATAAATTCAATGTAATTCATTATAATCGATTTTGATTTAATACAATTTTTAATTTTTTTAGCAATTAAATTTTTATTTTAATCAACCCGTGTTGTATACAGGTCTCACACCTAGTCAATTATAAACAGTTGTTAATAATTAATCTTACAGAAATAAATTTGTCAATTAAACATTTTATCAAAAATATATTATTTATGTAATACAACTTACATAAATGTAATATTTATCATTATTTTAAAAATCGGTTTTTTAGTTGAATTGGTATGGTGACTGATTCTCGGTTTAACCGGTTCGATCGTCGGTTCAATCGGTTTCTATAATTTTCATCTATTTTCGTATTTTTTTACACAAACATAGACATCCATAAATTTAAAAATTAAAAATACGCATAAACACAAGATGAAGATCAACCAAAATACATTAAAAACTCATAACCGTAAGTTTTACATCAATTCACGTACATCAAAAATAAAATAAAATATAATACAAGAACAAAATATTATTTTAAATGAATACAAACGCATTAAAAAAATTTATAACATTTACCATGTGTTTTTATTCAAAAATATCTAAATGGATTTGGAAAAAAAAAAAAAAAAAAAAAAAAAAAACTAAAGTTTGTTATGAAAATGATTTCCATGTGTTTTTATTTAGTTTAACCGATTTCACCGGTTTAATTTAACCGGTTCAACCGGGTTTTTTATAAAAATCGGCCGGTTTATTCCAGTTCAAAAATAAAAATAAAATCAGTGCTAGTTGAACCGCTCTCTTCTCCGATTCCTGGTCCAACTGATTCGACTGGCCGGTTCAAATCAGTTTTTAAAATCTTGATATTTATTATAGAAATAAAAAACGAATATATATTTTTCTTGTTTTTTTTTTAATTTCTAATTCACAATAATGCGTCAGGTTTAGGGGTAAAAAATACTCACTTGGGCTTGACAGACAGTAACTATGCATGAATTATTGATGGACAACACAAAGTGCAATTTCACTTCATTTGATTTTCTAATAGTTTGATCAATGAAAATTTTATATATTATTCTAAAATATGATTATAGATAACTAGATAATATTATTAATATGAATAATCAAGGCTTTGTTTTTCACATTCGAGTTTACATTTCCTTTTATATCTTTAGAGGGTTAAAGTAAATAATCTTAAAATTTAACTCAAAAGCAATAAATAAAATACTTGATATAAATTTTGTCCTTTACTCGTGGTACGACGGTTATATTTCAAAGATAATGATGAACTACCATCCCATTAAATGGACACAGATATTGATTAGATGGCATTATAATGTATTTATTTTCTATATTTGTACGAAATTTGAAATTTAAAGCTTAATGCCATTAAATGGACACATATATTGATTAGATGGCATTATAATGTATTTCTTTTTTATATTTGTACGAAATTTGAAATTTAAAGCTTAAAAGTTTGTTATAACTATATACGGACAACACTCAACAGATAAATTAATAGCTGTAAAGATGCATATATTATATTGTAGTTATAGATCATTGTATCTAAACAACCAATAATGATACCTAAATAAGACAACAGTTAATTAATATTTTCCGAAATCATGTGAAAAATCTCAATGCATTCTCTATAATTGTTATACTCCCATAACATTAACATATTATCTAGAGCAAATTACAATTTGTCACCTATGGTATACACAAATCTACATGTATAGTCTTAGTTTGGGAAATTTACACCATTGGTCCTCATGGTTGGAAAATCCTCCAATTTTAGTATATATCTCAGTTGTCGTCTATGTCATTTCGTTAAGCACGTATGAATCGACTAAAATTCTCATGTACCACCACCACCACTCTCTCTTTCCTCATTGACACCACAAATACTATATGTAGCCAACCCCACTACCTACCACCATATACGACTAACCCCACCACCTATTCTCAGTCACCATCCAAACCTACCACCCACCATTAGTATCCACCTAACCACACCACCACCAACAAAATTGTTCCCAATTTTTAACAAGTGACGGGAAAGATAGAGTAGATCTAGTGCATCCCAACATCATGAGATAAAGAGGGGGATTCGATGGTGAAAGGGACACCGCAGATGAGGCTGGATTTGTCGTTGTGGTGTAGATCTGGTGAGGCAGACATGTTGGCGGCGTGGTGGTAATTGGAAGTGGAGTTGTGGGTGTGTCGACGTCACTAAAGAGGAGTGAAACATTGATGGAAGCGTTTTCAAGAAGACCAGAGATGCTAATTGGAGGAGAGGGGATGAGAGAAGAGAGGAGATTTTAGACAGGAGGATGAGATAAATGAGTTATTTGTTCTCAATTTAACGTTTGGAACAACGTACTTATACGGTCTCTCTAGCTTATATCTTCTACAGATTTGATCCATAGGCAAAATGATATTTTCATGTGACATATACATATGATAACATAAAGAGGGGTCATTGTTGATGGATTTAACAACCATAACAATCAGTGGTATTAATTTCCAAAATTAGAACTAAACCTGCAAAGTTATGTATACCACAAGGACCATAATTGTAATTTACTCTATTATCTATTATATCTAGTATCCCACCACCTCATGCTTCCCACAAACCTTTCCCTTCCACCACCTCCCGCTACCTTGAGTTCAGCTCCCCATGACACCTCTCCTACTTACGTTTGTCGCTTCTATATCAACATCTCCTGCTTCCTCTTCTATCTTTTTTAAATCTTGAATTTTCGATCTACATGTTCGACATCCATTTCACTTTTTCAAGAGAGACAAAGGAGTGTTAATAGAATGATCAAGTGACATAAACAATTACCAAGGCATGAACTATAAATCTTGGTAATTGTTTATAACGGCGTGGGCCCCGACGAGTACACGGACACAGACTACGAGTTTGAGGGTACCGACGACGACATGGATGAAGAACAAGACTCAGGAAAGGATTCTGCCACGCCACCTACCAGCGAGATGCAGCAGGACCACCCCGCCCCACCAGGGAATCCCGCAAGGGAGAATCGCTCTCCGGAAGCTGAGATTGCTGCTCTGCGGCAACAGCTATTCGCCATGGAAGCACGCGCGGTGCAAGCAGGACAGGAAAGGGATGAAGTCATTGGAGAAATGACTGAGATGGCCCAGTTATTGGCACAACACTTCGGTATATGACCCTACCTACCACCGGCGAGCGCATCTTAGAGTGTTAGGATTAGCCATATTTATCCTTTAGTATTATGCTTATGTGATCTATGCTATGTACCATCGACTCTATGTTTAAGTGATTACACTACTCATAGAGCCGTTACGCTGCCGAACTTGCACCACTTATGTATGCTCTTCTGAGCAAAATTTTCATGTATCAAAAATGCGGATAATATTAATGAAAAATTTATGTGTTCTATTGATGTTGTGCTGCTATGTGTTATATATACATGATTGTATGCTAACTTGTGAAACCACTTAAGTTCATGCAAAACACCTAGTTTATAGGACCACAATCTCACAAAAATCATAGGCACTCAACATCTTTCCGTTCCATGACAGAAAGATGCCTCAACGACCAACTCGTGGAAACCCTGGACCGACCCCACCCGAAGTCAACTCAGCTGCATTCCAAGCAGCTGTATCTGCTGCGGTTACTACAGCCATGGCGCAAATCCACCAAGGGAACAATGGTGGAGTCAATGGACAAGGGGCTGGGAGTTCGAACAACGGAGCAAATCAAGGACCTACCAAGACATGCTCCTACAAGGACTTCACCAACGCCAAGCCACGAACCTTTAATGGCACAAGTGGAATGATAACTCTAAAGAGATGGATGGAAAAAGTGGAATCGGTATTTGAGATATGTGAATGCCCCGAGGAGGTGAAAATGAAGTTCGCCGCATGCACATTCGTTGACCAAGCTCTTACTTGGTGGAATGGACATGTAGAGGCCATGACTCTCCCCGTAGCCAACGCTATGTCGTGGACGGAGTTGAAAGAAATGTTGATGGCTGAGTACTGCCCGTGAGGCGAAATTCAGAAAATGGAGCAAGAGCTGTGGGATCTCACCGTCCGAA